TCGTACCAGACATACCATTGCAGCGCCGCTGCTCCAACACCCAATCGTTCCTTGACAGAGACTTGAAGACGATCATGTATCCGCGGGCCTCCTCTTCGGTGATGGGCTTCTTCTCGAAAACCCCAGGCCGTAGGATACTCGTCATACATGCATGGGCGCGATGCAGATATGGTCGGCGTGTCCATGAACGTATCTTCGTCGGCGCGCATGCCCGTCTGACCATCTGTGTTCACAATTCACACAGCGTGTAGCATGTCGCGCTCGGATATCGCACTGATGCCACTGCGTGCGCTCACCGGGCTCTCCGTCCTGCGATGACTGCGCGGGCGGGTGTCTCGCCCGTATGGCACGTTGGCACGTGGAGACTGAAGCCACTGCGCGCTCCTGTCGGTGGCTCTCTCCATGCGCCTCAGCCACATGTCGTTGGCCGGCAGCGCGGCAAGTGCAGTTGTAGCAGGTGTCCCTGCATTGTTGGCTGCTTCCGCTATTAATGGCATGGGCGCATCCAGAGCAGGCGCGGTGGCTTCCGTCGCCTGCCCCGCGTTGGCTGACGAAGCAGGTTGCCCCGCTGGTGTTGTTCTGGGGGCTGCCGCGCTATCCAGCATCATCGCCGCGACGCGGTTGAGCTCTTCGCGAAGGCCCCTCAGTCCGTCAGCCCCTTCGGAGTAGTTCTCCATGACGATTCAATGCGTCCTGATCTCCAGCAAGGGCATAATGAAACTCAGCTGCGATTAGACCAGCGCCCCTGCAAAGGCCGCAAGGTGCCTCAGTTGCAGTACCTTCCATAGTGCCAGCCAGCTGTCTGTCCACATGAGCGCGTGCAGCTCGGCCCCAGCACTGTGCATGGAATATGTGGCCACACTGAAGCCTCCAGACCTTGTCGCGATGCATGAAGCGATCCAGGTATATGGCACAATTGTTCAAGTCACCGTCGCTGGTGACTGGCGGTGTTGCCGATGGCCTGATACGCGACTGGCGCTCCAGAGTAGTTTCACCAGCCCCATGCCGAATCGGTGGGACCGACGGTAGCAGCATGGCTGCAAGTGCTGCCGGGTTAACCTCATGCCCGTGAGAATAAACACTAGGGGGTAATAAAGTTCGAGGTTCAGGGAGAGATAATAGAAGTAGCCCAGCAGACCTCAGCATAATCTCGAAGTAAGAGATGATCAAGAGGAGACCAAGCCGAGCACGTTTTGAGACATCCTTGGCGTTTAGTTCTCATAGAAATATCCTCAACAATGGCTTATCTCGCTGGAGACATCCTCGACAAATCCCTTGTTTCGCTTGAGACATCCGCAAACTATTGCATATTTCGCTTGAGACACAGTCAAACTATTGCTTATTTCGCTTGAGACATCCTCGACATAATTGTGGTTTTCGCTTGTAACGTCCTCAAAGTATCGCTGATTTCGCCTGAAACATCCATAGAAGAAATGATAGGAGGAGGAGAAGGACGAAGAGAAGAAAAAATCTCGAGTCTCAAATCTATGAGATTTTATTTACAAGCGCTTTATGAAAATTGTTTTTTGTAAGTGCTCGTGCAGGGTAGCTCATGTGCCTCAATTTCCATGGATAATCAACCCCAGAGATACAGAAGTTCAGGCGAGCGTGGGGACAGAGAGAAATATAAAAAGAAGAATACATTATAATACTGATAAGAAAGAAGAAGAAAATGAGAATAAGAAGAGGACGAAGAAAGGAAACATCCAAAGTTCCAAATCTATCAATTTTGATTTACAAGCGCTTTACGAAACTTTTTTAAAATAAAAAAGTGCTCGTGTAGGGTAGCTCATGTGCTTCATTTTCCATGGCTAATCAAACCCAGGGATGAAAAAGTTCAGGCGGGCGCGAAGACAGATAGAAATATAAAAGAAGAAGAGGAAAGTAGAATACTAATAATAAGAGAAGAAGAAGAGAATAATAAGAAGAGAAGAAGAACGGAAAAATGGAATATTCCAAATCTACCAATTTTAACTTACAAATGCTTGATGAAAGTTGATTTTTTAAAGTGCTCATGTAGGGTAGCTCATGTGCTCCCCTTTCCATGGATAATCAACCCCAGAGATTAAAAAGTTCAGGCGCGCGCGGGGATGCATACATATATAAGCAGGAAGATAATAATAATAAAAAAAATATAAATAAACAGAAAAAACTTGCTGGTTTAGCTTGAAACATCCTTGAGACATCCTTGGAACATTGCTCGTTTCGTTTGAGTCTGCCTCCCAAAATGTTTGGTTTCGCTTGACACATCCTGAAAAGTGTGATCGCTTCGCTTGATGTTGCTATATCAACATCGCTTGATGTTGCTATCTCAACATAGCGTTTCGAGGTGATAGTGAAGTTCGGCCTCAGCGCTCGCCGCCCAATTTGAATTTTGCATAGGGCGACGATGATCAACTCTAAACCCTGGGGGGGAGGTCCCTTTATTATCATCGGCATGCGGTTATATGCAGGCGTCCCTGCTGCGGTTGGAATAGCAGGTTGCCCCGCACGACCCAGCATCCCGTTTGCCTGACGCTCGCGGTTGCGACGCTGGCGGGCCAACTGCATCGAGAGATTGGCCTGCTGCGCCTCGTGAGTGGCCAGAATCTCTGGGCGCAGCTCCCCCATCGATGATGGCGCTACCAGGACGGGGGCCTGCTGCGTCACATCTGAATCCATCGGGGTAGCCAAATATCCATAATAAGGAATCTGGCCCGGCACATATGACTCGTTGCCAGAGCCGCGCGTCAGCTGAGACTGGTAGAAGTCGTCGGCCGTTGCTCGTACATGCGGGCTCTCAGGCTGCATTCCCGCATGAAGGTTGCCCGTCACCTGAGACTGGTAGTCAGGATACAATGGGAAGTCCATCGGTGGCGCTGTAGGGCGCTCTGCAGCTGTCGGATCGCATGTCGGATGACCGAAGAATGCTCGTGCGTATCCACATCGGTTGGGGTTGTCCGGCGATGGATCTGGGCCCATGACATGCTCCCAAGGAGGCGCCCAGCTAGCGCTAGGGGGGCCGATGCCATCTCTACGCAGGCTGTGTGAGGCTTCGCGCATCTGCCGGTACATCCACTCTTGCTGACCAACCAAGCTCGCGGTCCTCTGTGCAGCGTGGCGGTCAGGAAAAGCAGTTTGCCCCGCGTGTGGATGCGGCGGTGCGAAAGGCGATGTCGCCTGCAAAGCCTGGTAGAGCTGCGGGTCCATCCGCATGCTTTGGAGTCTTGCCTGTAGACTAATGGTGCTCCCAGCACTCTGTGGAGTCCCAAATGGAGTAGCGGCCCTGCTCATAGGTGCGAATGGCGCAGGTTGCCCTGTAGGTACTGGTAGCTGCTGCGTCTGGGCGCGCCACGGATCGCTGGTGCACAGCATGTCGGCGGGGGTACTTCCACTCGATGTCGGACCTGTCGCGCCCGCACTTTGGGCCTGAATCCGTGATCCGTCAGATCCCCCTGCAGGTGCCCCCGCTTGATGCACATCGCGCAACGTAATGATGCCAGAAAAAAACCAGATCATAATCTTTTTCAGGCTGTAGGGCTATAGGACTACAGGGCTACATGGGCTCTTGGGCGCTATATGGGCTGTATGGCTATATGGGTTATAGGGCTATAGAGCGATATGGGCATAGGGCAATAAGGCTATAGGATTGGTGGTTCGGGTCGGGTCTCCCCCGAGGGTCTGGGGTTGATGGGGTTCTGATGGCAGATCGGTCATGGGGTTTTGATGGGGCGGTTTCGCGTCGTCGGGTAAATGAGAATTCGTTGGCGCGCAACTTTCTGGCGGCCCACGGTGCGAGAACCCAGCCACGAGGTTTCGATGCGGCGATTTCGCGTCTGTCGTCAAATCAGAACCTAACCTATCTATGGGCGGCTCTCCTGCAGCCCATGGTCCGTCGAAACAGCCGCGATATTTCATATTGCCCTGCTTTAGCGGGGAGCGGGGGTGGCTGCGTCGCGGTGATCACAGGGCAACGCGCCCGCCGCGCGGGCCCCTCCCTGGATGACAATGGCGAGCGGAAGTAATAGAAAGCAGGGTGTGATACGGGTGGGGTTGCGATCAACTTGCCCTAGGGGGCGGCTCAAAGAAACGCCCCGGACAAGGCTCGGGATGGGGCCGTCGCCACAAGCGCGCGCCCGAGCATGAGCACATACTGCCGCGCGACTACCGAGAATACCCACTTACGTCCTACAGCCCTTCTGGGCGATGTTCGATCTAGGGCCCGTGGGTTCCTGCAAGGGGGCCCAAACAAACAGTCGTCCCGCGGGCGCTGGGGGGGAGACATCATCGAACATATGCTCGTGAGGTTTCCTGAGCAATTCGAGGGACGAGGGCGCAGATTGGGCTCCGGGCAATGATGAGGCTTCCCCCAGGGGTTGGTGGAACGACAGGTTCTGGTGTTGGCTAAGTCAGGGCCGCCACGTCGGAGGGGCGCTCGATCGTGACCACGCGATACCTCATGAAGTGATCCACGCGCCGACCTACTCTAAGATCCTTGCGGGGCGATGTCCGCTCTAAGGTTTATGGGCCCCTGCTGCGAGGTTCTAAGCAGCATGCGTTCCGCGGACGCTCGGGGGAGACCTCGTCGAACCCTCCAGGGGGCCCCAAGAAGCCCCCATAAGCTACAAAGAGGACCCTAGGAGACCCCCGGGAAGACTCTGACAGTTATCCCAAGAGCCCCTCATATGAATCCCAAGGTGCCCTGACCAACTAGATAATTTCCACGATAGTCGCAACTTCTGGCTCGTCCTCGGGGCTTGCGGATTGGCGCAAGCCCCTCGCATAAGTCTCGCAGGAGGGTGCATGGGGGAGGGGGGGGGGGGATCGTGATGGGGCGATCGTTGAGTAGCACGTGGCCATGGTGCTGCTATGGCCGAAAAGTGAAATGTACACTCGCTCTCGCACCTCGTCACGGCCGCCGCCAGTGCTTCGTCGCGGCCGCCGCCATTGCGACGCATTTCGTCATCCTCGTGCTGCGTCACGGCCGCCGCGCGCCGAGTGCTTCTCTCAAGAAGCCGCGCCCCCGTTCAGCACCTCGGCCAGCTCGTCAGACACCTCGTCGACGATCGGCTTGGCGACGTCGCCCTCGCAGAAGGCGGGCGAGTCGCGAACTGTGCCCCGCAAGGTCGTGGGAACCTCTGCCGCGGTGTCGGGCGTGAGCTTCGTCGCGCTCTGCAGGGCCCTTGCCTCCCACAAAGTGGCGTGCGCGCGCCGCTGGCCTTTCTTGAGCTCGATCTCGGGCTCCGCGAGCTCGCTCTCTTGTCGCGAAGCGAGGCGTCATCTGCGAACGAGCCCAGCTGCTGGGAGATGGTGTTCTCGATCTGCCTCAGTTTCGTCGCGGTGCCCTTCTGCTTGCACAAGACGCGCTTGTAGCAGTCCTGGAGGCAGTCGAAGTCGTTGGGGTCCGCTGCGCTCTTGGACCAGTGCTGACCTGAATGGTCCAGGAGGCCGCCTGCCACGCCGATGAACCCCCTGATCTTCGCCACCGACCCGCGCGCCAGGTTGCCCCAGTAGGCGGGGGAGAAGTCTACAAGCCGGGCGGCAGTGTCGTCATACACTGCGCTGAACTGTTTCTCGTAAGCCTCGAGCCCGGGAAACATCGCGAAACCGTCCGTGGCGGCCAGCTTGTCCTGGCCATCGCTTGGCGCGCCCTCAGATCCGCCGGCGGCGGCCTCCGCCTCGCTCTTCTTCCAGACCGCCCCCTTACACCTGCCAGCGGTCGCGCGCAGCTCCTGCCATGCCTGACGAGCGCCGCGGCAAGGCACTCGCAATGCCAACTGCGCCGAACGGGTTCCCAAGCCCCTTTCTCGACCATTCCACCCCATCCTCTACCGCTGCCCCCTTCCAAAATCAACCCCCCGCCCGCCCCCCAAATCCCCGCCCGCCTCCCCCTCATGAAAGGACCGCCCAGGGAACCGCGCAGCTTCAGTTGGCGTTGCACGCCCAATCGCTGCCTCCGAGACCTCAGCGGCACACTCGTCATCCTGATCCCCGTTCTTCTGGTCGAACATGCTCCGAGCCTTCAGCACCTTCGCGAACTGGGACAGGGCGCCGATGCGAGTCGTAGCTGTCGCAAGGGAAGCGATCGCGGCCCCGCCCGCCTCGATGTGGTCCACCGCGAGCGGCCAAGCAACGCCGAGGAACTTCAACATCTCATCAGCGGCGCTGCCAACCGCGCAGTCGGGACTGAGGGTGTCGACGGACAAGGCAACGGAGCGCGACGCGCAAACATCGATGCACGCCACCATGTTCGCAACCGTGTTGGCCCTGGCGAACTTCATCCCACTGCGCTGCTGGCGAGCCGCGCGCACGGCCGAAATCAATTCCTCGCTCTCGGGGGCCAGTGCCAGTGCGCGGCACGCGGTGGCAAGTGCATCCTCCTGGGCCGCAAACGGAACGGACCCCGCATACCCGCGGAGCTCAGCCGCCAACTCTTGAAGCTAAGTGAAGTGGGCCGAGTCCGCTGCCCTGAACTCGACCGCCGTGCTGATGAACGCCTGGAACTTCGACTACATTGACTTCAGCGCGTCGGGGGGTGGGCTGGTCGAGTGATGAGTCAGATGATGATATCGTCGTGACCCAACTCCCGAACGACTCGCACATCGCTTTCAACGAGGTGTTGGCCCCACCCGTGCGTAACTGGTTGCCCCACTCGCACAAGCCGCCGAACACGGCCACGTAGTTGTCAATCGTGATGTCGCTCCTGCCCAGCAGCTCGGTGAACTCCTTGGCCGTCTTGCCGCGCTTGGTGTCGCTGTGGTGCGCCCTGTTGTACTCGGCGAGGCAGCCCTTCAGGCCCTTGCCGAAGGTGAAGACGACGTTCTTCCAATCCTCCTCGCCCCCCTCCTCACGAAGGACAGCGCGGGCCTCCACCCTGCAGGGGCAATCCGTGATGGTGGAAGGAGACGCATCTAGCAATACCTTCAAGCTCTCCGAGAAGACGTAGAGCTCCTGAGCCACTACCTTAAACTCTTCGGGAACTGCGCCGCGCAGCTTATCATATCCAACATGATCGCTGAAAGCCTCGGCCATCTCTAGCAACTCATCGGCGTCGGTCGCGCGCTTCGTGGCCAGCGGAAGCACGACGTCGTTGATGATGAACTCCCTGCTCACCTTGGCGACCTTGTCGGGCTGGGCCCCGACGAGTGCGAAGGTGGGCTCCTTGACCGAAAACTGGTCCCCGAATGAATCGCCTGCCATCGACCATGGGACGCAAATCTTTTACTTTGCCCGTCATCGACGTCGTCTCCCTGACAGCCGCCGCGACCAGCTTCATCTTAAAACTGAGGGCCTCGTTAATCTTGCAGTGCTTCAGGCCGTCCAACAATTTGAGCCTGGCCCCCCTCTTCATGGTGTCGACCGCGTCTCCACCGAGGGTGCTGCGTACTTCTATGAGACCCGTCAACCTCGTCTTTGATGCCATCACGTCTCCATTGTTCGTCGGGTTGAATCTGGTGGGGCGTAGATCTTGTCCTCAATCCCGCGATGCTGCCCCTTGTTCATGCTGCGGCAGATGTCGATGTTGGCCTCGAGCGCCTTGAAGCGGATCTTGTCGGGGTCGTCCAAGCCCAAGTCCACGGTGCTCTTGCCGCGCCTCATCGGGCCGACGTTGGCGCTGGCAGTCGACTTCTCCTCGGCAAAATCGTCGCGCACAGCGCCCGCTACACCGTCAGCTCGTTCTGGCATCGGAATGGCGGGAGAACCAAGCGGCGCGCTCCCCGATGGCGACGCGGGGCCATCCAGGCCACAAGCAGCGGCTGGCGAAGGGCTGATGCCGCAGATGGCTTTCGGGCCAGGGCCCCGACCAGCCGCCGGCGTCTCAGCCTCCTCGCAGTCGGCTGGCGCGCGGGGGATCGACGGCACAGGGGTCAGCAATCCTTTGGCCATCGCTGCCCCGATGGCGCGCTTCTTGACCTCCGGAATGGTGGGAACAACGACGTGTCCACGTAAGGCAGTCGGAAACACCCCCCTGGTATACTTATCAATCGCATCAGCCATGCTCGAGGCTTGCTGATCGCGGCAGAACTCCGACGCCTGCAACGACCACTCCGAATGAGACCCGTACGTGCTGGACCACTTGCGAACCTTAACGTACGGCTGAGACGGGTCCACCACCAACACGCCTGACAATTTCTTCGAGTGGGGCTCGTTCTTCAGCTCGATGATGCGCTCGCCAGCGTCCGACGGGACCAATTGCTCTGCGCCTGCGGGTGCGATATCCCTATTGTGCTGCTGCTCGTTGACCAAGAGGCAGTCCGAATACACCGTGAAGCCCTTGTCCTGTTTCAAGCCCACGTCGCGAGGGCCAGCGGGGGCAAACGCCTTACCATCTGAGATCTCACATGTTGCTTCGAATGCCTCGGCCAGCTCCTCGTCCTCGTTTGCCCTTGTGCACATCTGTGCCCACTGGTGGTCCAAATGCCACTGCCCCCTGCAATGCCCGCGGACATTTTAGCTGCACCCGTGCATGAACTTTACAATCGGCTCCCCAGGCATCTCAACATCTGGAAACACATTCTCCTCGTCCTCGAAGCAGCCGCAGTAGCCGCACATGCCGAGCGGCCTCGATCTGTCGATCGGCGTGGAGCTCACATAGCGGATGAGCAGCGGGCCGACGAACGGCTTCGATGATGTCCCAGTCGGCGCTGCCGCACCCTTCCTCTTCCTCTGCTGGGTGCCGCCAGGCCCGCCTCTCCCAGCGCCTGCTCCTCCGCGGGCCCTCTTCCCCCCGCCTTTGCCACTGCCTTTGCATCGGAAATGCATCTGCTGCGGCGGCCACTGCTGGTCCTCTGGATCGACGTCGATCAGCAGGTTGCCCCGCAGGTCGTTGCTGCCTGCTGCCTCCAGGATTTGGATCATCTGGGGTTTTCCTCTTCTTCTGTTTGGGCGGCGGTCTGAGCTGATCAGGTCCGAGTGACTTAGACTGACTCGACGAATCCGAGGATGGAGAAATATCAATAAGCGGATCTGTCTTCGGCTTGGGAGGAGGTGCCTTGGCCGTTGCCCCTGCAGGTATCCACGGCCAATATCGCACTGGCCCTCTGCCAAGGTTAAGGTCCACGCCGTCAAGCTTTCTGAGCGCCATATTCCCGATGGTGGCCTTTCCCCTGATGGACAGGTTATATCTAATAGCGCTAAGCCTTTGGTCAACAGTAGTCTTTACCCATCCTACAGATCCAGCGCGGAAAGCGACCCATCTTTTTGGAGAGCGGCCCATTTCTTCAGTGGCGACGCACCTGGGATCAATAGGGGCGTCCGCATCGTAAGTGACGTCCGTGGAAGTGGAGTGGGCGCCGGAGCATTCCGAGGCGTGCTTCCGCGGGGTCTACCTCTTCAGCCAGTTCTTCAACTTCATCAGCGCCTTGTTGGTCGTCTTCTTCTGATGTGGGCGAAGCAGGTTTCCCCGCGCCCCACTCGCGATTGAATGCGTTTTAATACCGAAGAGGTGAAGAGTGTAGATTGAATTTTTCGTCGGCTGTAGCTGGGTCGCAGTCGTTCTCCGTCAAATGCTCCTTCCATGGCGCTGCATTCGGGTCGGCGCAGTAGCCCCGACCATCACCATGAGACCAAACCCACGGTGTCTTGCGAAAGTTAAGGCTTCTCGATGGGCGTCACGTGGGGCCGCCAAGCCTGTGGGCGGCATGCTCTGGGCATGCGCAAGCAACTCCTCTGCAAAGATTCCGCTCCTCGACGATAGCCCTCACGAGGTCCCGATTGGCAAGGGCTTCTTGTGAGTTCACATCCCCTGTCCCTTCTCATTGCGTTCAACCTTGCGAAGGGAATGCCAGTGACGAATCGGGTGCTCAGCCCAACCCTGGCCCAACCCATATTGCACTGCATCTGGGTCTATGCACTGGCGAGCCAGCCCAGCATCCGAGTAGCCAACAAGGCGCTGCAATTCGTCTTCTGGAAACTCTTCCTGAGGTTGTTCCCCATGGGGCGGGCGTCTCCGCAGACGCTCCCCCCTCGGGGAGGTGCCGGGCCCATTGGCCCGCCATGGAGGGGCCCTCGGCCCCCCCGCATCAGGGGGGCGAGGGCGCTGAAGGCCGCTAGAGCGAGCGCCGCTGGAGCGCGCGCGCGCGGTTGGGTGAGTGGTTGCGGGCCCGACCGCGGCGTGCCGGATCAGCGTCAGCTTCCGATTCTTCGTCGTCGGCGCGATACTTGCGTCTCCAGGACTGGCGGCGCACCGATCGCTCCTGGCTGCCCATGGAGCGGCCCGAACCTACAAATGCGCATTGAAACCGCGCATTGCGACCGAGCTCATACGGAACGCGCTCGGACAGGTCGCTAACATCTCGCGGGCTTCCCCGCGAGGGATCGCCATCGCTCAATGTGTTTGTCGGATTTTGCATACCCCGAGGATCAAGCATCAACTGCGCCCCCTCCTCTGCCGCAAGAACACTGGCTTCTGAATCCGCGGGCGCCCTCGCCATTCCGACATCCCCGTCGGCGGGCGCGCGGAAGTTCTCAACGCATTCCACATCAGCAGGTTGCCCCGCGATGGGCATGCCCAGCCAGTCTGCCAGATCGATGTCATTGTGGCTAGCGAATACCTCCTCGAACAGCTCGTCGGCGCAATTCTCGAGAGACATAATGACACACTGGCGCTCTGGCAGCCGTGCAATTAACAGCTGCAGCTGAGCTTGTGGCAGGGTCGGCTAAAAGTGGCCCCCAGTCGACTTCTTGTATGTCCGAATCAGTTTGAGCCAGATGCATCGACGGACCTCTGCCTCCCCCATCGCCCTGAGGGCATTCGCGGCGAAAGTGCTGTGTGCCATGGCATATGTCGCACTCTATAGTTTTGCCGTTGGCATCCTTCGGGGTCCCCCGACGCCCCATACCTTTTCCTGATGTGTGCCTGCTATTTCCGCCTGTCCCTCAGAATATCTCTTCGTACTGTGGCACTGTAGAGGACGCTGGGAATTCAAATATGCCTCTCCCATGCAATCGCCGACGCTCACCCTTGCCCTTGCATCGACCCTTCCCTTTTTCTTCTGGTTGCCCGTCGGTCGATGCCCCGTGCCTTGCGAACTGGCTTCTTCATAAATCGCCTCCACCTGCGATATGTTTCTAGCATCCTAAGAATTACGCTGCGCCTGTTGCTCTTCCGCGAAGTATGTAGGTATGTCGGAGTAGTCAAAGGCTGTAGCCTCATCGTCCGAAGACGCGTCGGCGTCGGCGCCGGAGTCGAAGTCGGACTCGGCAGGTTGCCCCGCTGAGCCCATTAGGGCTGTGGCTTGCGTAGGGGATGCCGCGTCGAGCGGCCCCCGAAACCTGGCCCAGGAGTCTTGCGACCCCGAGGCCGATCCACCGTTCTGAGCCAGTAGTGTAGTGGTCTCAGTTGGTTGTGGATCGTCATTCCAGACTCTATTTGCAGGTTGCCCTGCGGTTGCCTCAGCGTGGGCGGTCTGGTTCGGTGACCGAGACTGAAAAATACCACCAATATTGACAGGTGTTCTCTCAGCAATGCGTGCATATGACCTCATGCGTTCAAGTCGAGCGTCAAATGGTTGCTGGTCTCTGGGCATGTGGTGCTTTAGTGGCCGCAGGAGTTGCTGTGCACGCGATGTCCCCACCCCAAGAGCTCTGAATAACATGCATGCTAAGATTTGGAAGTTGGGGATGTTAGAGCCTGCCGTTTCAGCTCCATAGCGGGCTATCTCGAAGCGTGCCAACGTCTGGTCGATTCGTTCTCCCGCACGAACTCGGAAGTCAATGAGAGCCGTGCCAGAGCTGAATTGGCGCTCCCCCTCTGGATTCTCGAACATCGTGCTTAATAAGAAAATGATGTAGGTGGCGCCGTCGGTGCGGCGGCCGCCCGTGTTAACACCAAAATTGATAACTGTTGGGGGGACTCTCATGGATATGGTCCGTGCGAAGCCTCCCAAACCTCGCTGCAGGGCTGCGGTTTGTTGGGAGGGCGTCATATTGCCTGTGGTCACGTTGATCCAGGCATGTACCTCGCGGGCGAATTCGCGGAAAGCTACTTGACCGGCTGGGCCCCAATGGGGCCGGTCGTTCTTGTGTCGTCTCCGCCACGCATATGTCCTACCGCGCACCCGATAGCGACCCATGCGAGCCCAAATATAATAATACCAATCCAATGGCCTCGCAGGTCGTGGTCGGATGTAGTCGGTTGGGGTTTTCGATGTGTTGTCGTAAGTCTGCGTGGGGGTGGAGGCGGCACAAGATCGTATCGCATGTTTCCGTGCATTACGTCTTCGAAAAAATCCAATGGAGTGGGTGGGTGGACTTCAGGAGTGTAGTAGCGCAGGGCTGTAGGACGAAAGCAACAGGCCCCCGCGCGAGCAGAAGCGTCACAGCAAGTGTCCTTGTTATACTGCGTAGTTGTATACATGCCTCCGCGCAAGCCCATTGCACCCGGATGTTCCACCACGTCTGTAGTCCACCAGATGGTGCTGGGGATGGTGAGGAGTAGAGCAAGAGCTGACCACCATAGGCCAGCTCCGCTACCAAATTTGAAACGGGTTGGGAGGCCCAACCAGCAGCTTCGCCCTAGGCGAAGTCATGTTCCCGCTCTGTTGCACCGTAGTAAAGATAGTCCCACTTGTAGGGGCGAGTCATCTCAAGCAGTGTTTTCGTAGCGATGGCAAATCGTACACCTCGCGCTGTGGTGTAGTCAGAGCGGCAGGCCGCTTTGAGCCAAGCAGCCGCGAATGCACGCTCGTTCCCACTCACATGCAACGCCCAGCTCACTTTAGAGTCAAGAGGCCTCCAAAACGCTCAAGATGGCCTCCAAGACGGCCCAAGAGCCCTCCAAGACGTCCCCCAAGAAGGCCCGAAAGAGTCAAAATGGCCTCCACACGGCCAATATGACCTTCAAGATGCCCACGTGTTCCCCGAAGGCTTTCCAAACCGATTCGGGGAACACTGGTCCGATAGCTTGGCGGGTCTGGCCTCAACGTTCGGCCACATAGGCGCTTCCAAAAAGGCAGGGGGCGGCGGTGATTCGCCGTAGGCGTCTTCGATCCGCCGCCCCCTGTGGTCTTCCCACAAGGTTGCCTGGCGTGTTAAATTCTATACGGCTTGGCTTGGGATCTTCGTCCAAAAGACCTCCCTCTGGGGCTTCGGCTCAGCGCCCTGGCCACCCGGGAAGGTTCCCAAACTTCGACTACCGTTGTCCTGATCGCCTCCATCACGGCCAAAATGGCCCAAGATGGCCGGCAAAGATGGCTCCAAGTTCGCCCAGGATGGCCTCCAAGACGGCCCAAGAGGGTCCGAGATGCCTCCAAGTCCGTCCAAGAGGCCACCACGACGGCCCCAGATGGCTCCGAGATGGCTCAAGACGGCCCACGAGGCCACCACGACGGCCCACGAGGCCACCAAGACGGCCCACGAGGGCCCGAGAGGGCCCCAAGAAGGCCTAAGGCGCCTAGGCGCCCAAGATGGCCTCCAAAGCTGCCCTGGAGCACCCCAAGAGGGCCCCAAGTCGGCACAGAGAGGCCCCCAAGACGGCTTCCGACGGCGTCGGACGAGCACTGACGGGCCAGGAATGCCCTAAGACGACCGAGGAGGCCCCCGATAAGCCCCCAACGGCCCCCAAGGAGGCCCAAGGAGGCCCCCGAGATGCCACCAAGAGGCTCCCAGGAAGCGCCCAGGAGGCCCCAAGAGTGCCCCCAAAGGCTCCCAAGATGCACCCTCCTC